AAAGCAGTTTTTCCAGTTTTTATAAAATACTCTGTCTCCTAGTCTGACTCAGACTGTCTGACGCTGGCAGTCTTTTATTCTGTTGCTTTCAATCAGCACCTCGCCATCATGTGGTTCACCGCCGGAGCTCTTCACCTTATCGTTATGGCTCAGACTATCGCCAGAGGATCGGGTCGAGATGATCAACTGGTGGATATCGACCAGGCCTTCCAGGACTTCATGAGAGAGTGAGATGATCCGTTCCCTCCAGCCTCTAGCTCTTCCATCGCCTATCGTAATTTTTGAAGTTACAGCAAGAAGTATGAGACGGATGAGCAGTACCAGGTTGCGAAGGCTGCTTTTTCACAAAGCGTGAGGGAAATAGAGGAATTGAGAGCGAATGGTGAGCGATGAAAGCTTCTGTCCTCTCAAGTTCATTATTCAGGCGATATTACTCATGAGGTCGGCCTCAATGAATATGCCGATGTACCACCTGAAGTATTCGATAAAGCGTTCCAGTCTGCTACAGATCCGCAGCTCAAGGAAAACCTGCGCTCAGTCAATGCGACTTGTACTATCACCTTGCTCTTGTTCCACGGAAGCAAAAAGATTCCCTCAGACCCACAAGACGAAATAGCAGCTCCTCCGTCGGTTGACTGGGAAGCCGCTGGTGCTTTGGCTCCAGTCAGGAAGCAATCTACTTCGCGGAACAAATGTGGCTCCTGTTATGCCATAAGCGCTACCGGTAAGCCTCCGATGGCTTTCCATAATTAGAGGAGATTTTGGTGCCGTTCATCATCACAACCGTCGGTTCCTCTTCAGTCGTGTTGGAGAGCCGTTTCAAGATACAGAGCGGCATTGCTAAAGTGGTTCCGTTCTCAGTTCAACAGATACTTGATTGTAGTGGAGCCTACGGAAATGAGTGAGAAAACGCTTAGCTAGATTGAACCACGTTATCCTCTTATGATCTGCTTTTGCCTTCAGCGGTTGCAGAAAAGGTGCTCCTCTGTGGTCGTATCTGTACGCAAAGGACCATGGTATAGTGCGAGCCAGCAGCTACCCCTATGAGGCTAAGGCTGGTGCGTGTAAGGAGTCGGTCACTAAGGATTCGAACCTGAAGTGTCTCAAGGTGAGTATCTCTCAACAACGCGATTCAGTGCTGGTTGTTGTTATCAGTATGGTGATATCGATGCATTCTATGGCGTACCGGCGGCCAACGAGGCTCTCATGATGCAAGCTGTGGCTACCGGACCAGTGGCGGTTATTCTGTATAGTTACGCCCCGTCATTCAGACACTACAAAGGCGGGATTATCACAGGTGACATTAGTCTCACCTAGGAGCGAAACATGTCTCTGTTCAACTTCGTAGCCAAGACCTGCGGAGTGTCTAACCCGAACCATGCGGTAACTATCGTTGGTTACAACACTTCGTCGGATGGAACTCGGTGAGATCAAAAATTCGAAGTAGCACCCGGTGTTCGTTCGCCTACTTGCTAGGTATTGGAAGATTCTCAACTCCTGGGGGAAGTCCTGGGGATTAAAAGGCTTCGCTTACATCGAACGAACCGGCAACGAACCTGGTAAATTCCAGTGGAAACTGCGGCGCGGTCGTGCCCATTACTGTTCCTGCTCCTACTATCGTGAGTCACGACATATGTAGACTATGTACATGAGACCTACTATGAGACCTACTCATACTGATGTACTCATGAGACCGTACATAGTCAGACTATGTACGGTTCATTTGTAGTTACTAGATGATCCATAGGTCCATGTAATATCCTCTCCGTCTCCGGGTATTACCCCACCTTCCGCTCTGAGATCAAGAGCTCCCCTTGCGCTGGAAGTCGTTGAAGGTGCTCCATGTGAGGAAAGTCGGGCCGCCGCCGAGGCTTTGAGTTTGATGCGACGCGTCATTTTTTATGCTATTCAATTATGCTGATACCCATTTCCCATTATGTTGTTATAGGATGTCACAAATATCCGCATGAATTATCATGCAGCCAATATTCTAAGCGAAAAATATCACTTTTTGATATTGTTCGTTCAAGACAATATCAGTCTCAAGATGGAGCTTCATCTTCGTTGTTTTCATTGGTCCGCACAAGCCTGATATACGTCGAATGGTTGGTGCTTTGTAGTCGACAGTGTTCGAAGTCGAGTTGGAAGTTCAAGAATCGCAGAAGTAAGATTTCTCAGGCTAATCCAACACGTGTATCATAGATAGCTTCGGGGGACATCAGTCTGCTCAACGAAGAGAATGAGGGATGTAGTACATCCGATGTACCGTTGTAGCTGCATAAGACGATTGAATCATCTGAGACGCTTCTAGTCTGTCGCGACATTGAAATGAGACCTCAACAGAGCATAGATTATATAACTCGAGAGATATTCGGTCCGAGACCGATCCCAACACTATGATGCACTTACCCCTCGAGACGGGACGAGCTCGTCGAAACGTGCGAAGTTAGAAATAAAAACCCGAGAAGGCAACTTCATATTTTCATTTAGAGCTTCCATATTCGTCACAGTACATTCAAACACTTCGAACCAAGGCTTGGTTACCAGGCTTGTCCGAGGTCGATAGGAAGCTCGAGTTTGTGTTAATAGAACTCTCCGTTCCGTCGTGCACATGAGACTCCTCGATTTCCTCCTTCCAGGAAAATCGATTCCGTTGTTGGGAACTTCAGTTTTGTGCTTGAAAGGCAAATATGATCATCCGTAGGGCCGTTCGATACCACAGGACCCACTTAATGGGTTCCGTAACGGAACTTCCGTTGAGATTGACTTATAACACTAGCCAGAGCGTTACTATTTGGAGGAATACACTCAATACACAAGCAACAGAGCAGCTTCATACCAGCAATAGCTAGAAGGAGGAACAGATTGAGCAGACAGATTCCATAGCACACAAGAATTGGACGATCGAGTGATCAACTATGCAGTAGTGGTGAGTAGCTTTTGCGCTCGGTTCCGTATTCAAGATTCGTTCTTCCTTTCGAGAATCAACCATGCATTGACTGGACAGTTGGTTGAGAGTGAGGAAGAAGACCAAACACTGTGAACCCCAGCCCGATCCCTCCCGCAGCATATTACGGTGAGACCCTCACCTCATCGCATGAACTATGTCACGGACTATAGCTCAATGTCCGATTCGGACATTGGGCCATATGTTCAGTTAAAAATTGAGAAATATTTCAAATTTTTCAGAAAATTTCTCAAAAATTCAGTAATATTTCAGGTGAAATATTTCACGGTCTGGCGGCACCTTACTTCAGCCACCCTGCCCTGAGACTCAGGGCGTATTGTTTCCCCGATAATAGACCTCACATTACGTTGTGTTGTGCTATCGACAAGCGAGCGATTATCGACACCACCGTGGTGTCACCACGTGAACGTGGTGTCATTGCACGTTCACCCCCGAACCGGAACGTGGGCCTCCCAGTTGAAAGTTCACATCGAATCCTCGCTCGCCACAAAGACGTTCAGTCATTCTGGTGAACCATTTTCCTCTGCTCCCCTTCTAACCAACCCATGAATACAATCATCTATTCCAGACATCATTGGCCGAGATGTCTTTCATTTTACGACTTTTCTGTGGCCATTTTCGGCTTCTTTGAAAAATATTTCTCTATTTTCCTTTTTTTCCTGCTTGGTGTTGGGCACCTGCTTTGCCCAAAGCTTCAACATATGCCATGATGGCATAAGCGCATGCCAGGGGTGGGGGCCCCTGAAAGATCGCGCCCAAATCTTTTACGCAATCACGCAAATGCGACCTGCCTACTGGATAGGGCTGCAAATGAAAAAGCTAAATTCAAACGAGCCGTGGAGATTGGCTGATTATCCGTGTACACATAGAACTCTACGCTAACGGGTGCCCTCTTGAGTATGGCTTAAACTGAAATTCTGTGACCTAGATCGGTCTTGAAATGATCGAATTCACGTGGTGCTGCGTGAGTATGGCGCGCACTAAAGTATCTCAAGAGCAGTTTCATGGGAAAGAGAAGGTTGACTCAGTGACTCGCGTCGTAGGGTCTTAGCCTTTGGGTTTGGTCCGTCTGGCCGCATACGCTTCACTTATCGGGACCATGATACCTCATGTTGATGTGTTGTAGATGCCCCGCGTTCAAGAAATCCCATAGACGCTGGGGATAGGAGAGGTATTGACCAAACCTCAAACCTGAAGCCCGAAAGCCGAGGTCTGGGTTTGGCAATACTGACCAGAGGATGAGTCAGCGAACTGCTGTGAATAAGCTACCCGAGCAATAGTCACAGAGTCAAGTGCCTGAGGCACTGTGCCTCATCTCTAGTCCCCCAGTATCAAGGGTAAGAAAAAGAGTCTGCCATTCTATCATTGCAACACTCACTTTTATCAACACAACAGGTTGTTTAGCGCTCGCCTCACGGGCACTTCGCTAAGCCACACATTTTCCCTCTATCGGGGATAATGGTACGATCCCCAGCTGGGAAATTTCTCCGCCAATAAACCGTGCCGTGCTTCTCAGAGAAGCTTCTCATATATATGAGAGAGAAGCCTTCTCTCTCATATATATGGCTCGATTGTTGTGAGTTACCCTGTTATTGAGCATGATGTCCAATATATCAGGATGTTGGTACTGCTCGTATGCATCGCGTTTCCAGTATGCGTTGCTAAAGTACGGAGTCCGTGTTACGGACGGTAATACGCTACATCACCACGCTCGTTTGACATAGTGTGATACATCTTCGGAAGCACATCGTCCCTGGAGCCTCCAGTCTGGAGATTCTCAAGGTGTTTGGTTGTATAATATTCGTAACGGAGTCCACATTTCAGCTGAATTGAAGCTTCTATTGCG